CCTCTTTAAATTCCTCAAGCACTTTCTTGATTTTGTTCGGTACCTCCATTTCTGGAAAATCGACTTCTTCTTTTAATGTGGCTAGGAATGTCACCTCGCCCCTCCGAAGGCCTTTGCTAAGTTGCATGGCTGAAATGATACATGAATTCGCCTTGCTTCTTTCTAAGGGAACGATGTGAATCGAGGATTCCTTGGTGAGGCGCATGGTTTTATTTTCAAATGAAAAAGGCCGGGCTTCGTCTAGGAATTCCATCCCAAGCACCATGCAGTAATCATCCATAGGGACTACCGTTAAGTCTATGATTCCTTTCCATCCTCCTATCTCGATGGGCACATTGTGGGCGACAATAAGGATGGGTTCGGATGGGGAATTTACTGCTTTCAGCCAACCTATCTCCTTGGTGTATTGAATATTCCTTTTCTTGGCTTCATTTTCAGCAAGAAAGTTATGAGACGCACCTGTATCGACTAGGGCTTTAGTTGTCTCTCCATTTATTTTAGTCTTCACGAACATGAGACCTCCTCCCTTCTTTGGTTTTGTCTCTTCCTTAGCCACTGAGTTGAGGAGACGCATCGAGCTTAGTTGTTGTTCGTCCCTTTCTTCATTTTCATCTTCAAAGACCATGGCGTTGAAACTTTTCTTCTTGGGACAATCTCTTATTAGATGGGGACCGTCACATAAATAACACTTCACCTCCTTACGAGTCCCTCCTTCGATCGCCTTTCCTTTGAAAGTTGAGGGTTTGACAGCGGGTCTATCGTCCCATGGTGATGGCTTTGGCGCAGCTTTATCTCCCCCACTTGTCCTTCTAGTCGGTGCATCTCTTCGGAAGTCCATAAGGTCTTCCGCTATAGCAATAGCTTCGTCAACGTCTTGGACATTCCTTCGCTTGAGCTCGTTATAGGCCCAAGATTGTAGTCCATCTTGGAAATAAAATAACTTGTCTTTTTCTTGTAATTCAGGCAACTCCAGCATTAAAGCAGTAAATTTTGCTACATAATCTTTAATCGACCCAACGTATTTCAGTCCCCGAAGCTTCTTCATTGCTACATCTTCGGCGTTATGGGGACAAAACTGCTTCTTGAGCTGCCTTTTGAACTCATCCCAGGTCTCTATGGTGTATAGCCCTTTTTCTATGTCGTTATGCTTCCGCCTCCACCATAGGGCGGCGTTCTCACATAGGTATAGGACAGCCGTGTCTATTTTGGGCTTATCGTCCTTTACTCTGATTGCATTGAAATAACATTCTACGGACCAGAAAAATTCTTCAAGAAGTTTAGGGTCATGCTTACCTCCGTACTTCAGGGGTTTAGGTGCATCGGCATGTGGCGTCATCTTTGTACTTGCTCCTCCAGCAATTGCGGCTTTGCACAACTTTACTTCGGCTTCTAGAGTAGCTAGCTTCTCACGGAACTCATTTCGCAGGGTGTTAATAAGTCCAAGGACTTCTTCCTTGATGACACCGATGGTTTCCTTCAATCCATCGCTCGTGTCACTTATCTCGGCAACGAACTGATCGACGGTATCCTTCCATTCAAGGATGTCACCGACGTTAATCTCCGTCCTTGTAAGCTTGTTCTCTAAGCTTGCCAAGGCATCTATCGATTGGTCCCTCTTCCTGGACTTTCTTCCTTTCTCCTCGACGACAGGGGGCACGTTTGCGACTTCACTACTTCCTGCTTCCGTAGTCATGATCTCTTGCTTGTACGAACTCCGTCTCTGATACCACGTGTCACGGGATGCTTCAATCACCGTGCGCCACTTAGTATTTTCTCCGACTAAGTCAGGCTAACTTCGATGGCTTAGATGTATTAACGATTTAAGGAAGCAAGAGAAACGACAAGAAACACTTCTAAGAAAAGAGCTTCTGTATACAACTTTACTTCTTACAAGAGAACTTCTTGGATGCCTTGGACAAATGAGCCCTCCTCCTATTTATAGGCATCCTACACCTCCTCAAAGGGAAGTTTCTAGATTTCGTATATTCCCGAGTATTCTAGATTGTTCTTACAAGATCCTTATCTATATACAAAGTTCTACACAATTCTATTCTATACTTTTGCATCCTAGAGAATTCTAGATCGTTCTAGGGACTTATGGTAGATTATTACTTGTTCTACCATGTCACACCCCCAAACCAGAACGGCGGAAACGTTCGGGGGCGGAGGACGTCATATTCAGTATCATAACAGTTCATAGAAAGGAAAGTACACACCACCATATATATTAAAGTTTCCAAGATGTTTACATAATTGTATTCATTACATGTTCAAAAGATAAATACATAAACATCATTCAAAAGAAGTAATTAACGCCAGCGCGTTAATCCCAAAAGTTGATTCCCAAACCTGCTTAGCGGTTCCCTGAGAATACAAGTTATTTCAAAGAAAAAGTGTCAACAATTAAGTTGGTGAGTTCATAAGTAGTTTAGAAAAATTGGATGCCATTCCCAAAATGGGTGTATATTTTCCAGAAAACGCAGCATTTCAAATGTAAAGAGTTGTGATTTGTTTTGTTGAAAGTGAATGTATTAAACCCAGAAAATCTCATATTTTCCCTAATGGTTGAGATACGAGTTGTTGTGTTTCCCAAGAAAACCCCTTATTTTCTTATAAAAGTAAGAAATGCATATGAATGTTCGTGTTATAAGTTGTAAATAATTGCACCAGGAAAATCCCTTATTTTCCTAACATAAATGGCAGTCTCTAAGACCAAAACTTTGCAAGAAATCGACGTTCAAAAGTTGTGTCATAGTTTTATATAATAAAGCTATACGAAGATCACATTTGTTAGATGAAGAATAGCTTTAATAGCTACTCGTTCATAAAAGCATAATACCATAATAATTGTATATCCGATGAGTTTTATAACCATACTAAACATAATATGCCTGTAACGACGTTCTTCAGGCGTCGCAGCGTTATGACAACTGTCACCCCAAAAGACGGACTGTAGCTAACAGTTAGGGCGCGGGATCATGACTTCCCGTATAGATCTATACACATTTGACACGTTCTCCGAACGGGAGACTCTGGTTATAGACAGGACTTGCAGCATTACTTTCTAATAAAGAAAAGTAACGTTTGAAGATATACACGTCTCATGGATTCTCAACTAAGCCCGTATTAAAGTGATAGTTTTCTATGCAAAGTTTATCCTTTTTCACAATGTTTGACAAAGCAAAATCATAAGTTTTTAGAATGTATAAAACGACTTAACAATGAAAGGTACTTTGAAATCATTATATACTTTGTATAAGTCTAATGCACACAAAGTATGACAAGAGTTTTCCATAATAGTATTGAGTTCCAAGTGATTTATTCGATAAAACAAGTGAAGTGAAACTTTATATAATACACGATAATAACCGTATGTTTACTTGTATTCCCCCCCTAAAAGAGTATAAAAGCATTTAAAATGTATTTAAAGTGTGTTTGAAAGGGGTATGAACTCACTTGAAAGCTTGAAGATAGCAAGATGGAAAATCGGGCAGAGTTTCGTCTCGGGAAATGGATTTTCCTCGGAAATCTCGGGATTCCTCGGGAGTAAAATCGACCTTCGGGACTTGCACAAAATGATCAGGGCTTTGGGGTAGTGCGAGCACGGAAAACGAGGTAAAACGCAAGAAAAATGAGAGAGAATGAGCCATTTTCCCGGGAACCCTCGCATGCTATTTATAGGGGGGCCTGAGAAGCCTCGTACGCGGGGCGTACGCTCGTACGCAGCGCGTACGCGTACGTCATGCGTGACCGAAGCCTCGACTGCCTCGGCCTCGGATGGGACGGCTCAGGCTGTCGGGTCGGATGGGACGGCGGGTCGGACGGGCGGGTCGGATGCCTCGCATAGGGCGACGTGGACGGTTTGAGGCCAAGCTCCTCGGGTACGCAGGGCGTACAGGGGTACGCAGCGCGTACCTCGGATGAGGATGCTGACTCCTCTTCGGATAATACCGAAGTTTTAATAAAAATTATATATAAATTATTTATTAAACTTCGAAAATTCATATCTCCTTCATACGAACTCCGTTTTTGACGTTCTTTATATCCCCGCGAAGGTGAGACTACGATCTACAACTTTCATTTAGATTCCGTTGGCAAATTCCGGAATTATTTTTATATTTTGTTTATTAAAATGATGTGATTAAGGAATTTCTTTAAAAATTCATAGCGTATTCATACAATGTCCGATTTGAGCGTTCTTTTTATGCATGTTTGTAGTTTAATGATATCTACGACTTTCATTTAGACACCTAAGCTCGGAAAGTGTTTTATTGAAACTTTGCGTTTTTACGCAACTTCGTATTGCCGGTTTTTGTCGGAAGACTTAGAATGATCATAACTTCTTCGTTATAACTCGGATTTTTGTGTTATTTATATGTTTGGAAACCTTAAGACGATAACTACCACATAGTGTACTCCAAATAGAGTTTTTGAATACTTCATTTTTCGATGATATTCTAATTCCTTTCTCAAAGAGGTTACAGGACTCGATTTTTACTAACTTGAAATAACGGGTTGTTACATACCATCTTCTTGATCGGTCTGGAAGATTCTAGAACACCGACTCGTGACACATTGCCCAAGATAAACATTCCAAAAGTTGATGTCTTCTCCGATAACCCAAAAGCCATAACAGGTATGGATGTTTTCGTTAAATCTTTTTAGTGTTTTTGTAGGGTTTATGCTTTACTTTCAATTCTTTGCTTTCGCTAATCTTTTTTACTAGGGTTTTTGTACGGTATATGTTTTGCTTTCAATTCTTTAATCTTATTCAAATGTCAAAACAAACAGATAATCACCCACAGATGGTGGAAGGCGAGTGGGTTTTCTTTTCAGCGAAAGGGAATTGATATTCTGCTGATTACAAACGAAAAAATAGAAGAGTAGGTAACGGTATTTGGAAGGTGAATAAGAAGAATATCTTTAAAGATGACAAGGGAGAACTTGGGGCCAAACAGTCTTTATACTTCTATCAAGATGACAAAAATAGTTCGTGGGGAATGATAGAGTATATCTTGAACGAAACTAGAGTTGGGTACAATGGCTATGTTTTATGCGTCATTCATCGTGGCACTATCAGATCAAAGAACGAACTGCAAATTCTTAGTCGTTTCCAGGAATCAACAAGTCTAAGTCCAATCCCATCACTGTTTTTGCAAAACATTGCTCAGGCGGCACCAGAAACCGCAAGCCATCAGGATTTCGACCCAAATCGTGTGCAGCCTCTTGAAGCCCATAATTCGTCAGCGCCGGGAATGCCCGATGGCAGCAGGACCAATTTTTTCGGCGTAACCTATGACCCAGACCCGAACCAGTTTCAGGATTTCGACCCAAATCGTGTGCAGCGTCTTGAAGCCCATAATTCGTCGGCGCCGGGAATGCCCCGATGGTAGCAGGGCCAATTTGTTCAGTGTAACCTATGACCTAGGCCTAGACCTAGACCCGAACCAGCTTCTTCCTAATGTCAGTTCATATAAGAACGTGCAGGACATGGACATGGGCATGGACTTGCTCAACTACTTTGTTGACCCAATTGAAGCAGGTATTAAAGGCCTAATGCATGGACGTATGGGAGGTATGGGAGGCCCAATTGATGGTGATAGGGCGGGCCCAAATGAAGGATGAACAGAAGGCCAAGTGGGACAAAATGACTCAAAAGTACAGATTTATCTTTTTGTTTGCTAATTTTGATTTCATATATCTTGAGAATTTATCTTTTTGTTTTTTTTAGCACATCATGAAAACCTCTCTCAAAAGCCAAATTTGATGTCATTGTCGTTTGCTAATTTTGATTTCATATATCTTGAATTTTTATCTTTTTGTTTTTTAGCACATCATGAAAATCTCTTAAAAGCCAATGTGATGTCATTGCCTAATTTTACTTGTTGGCTATAGAGTTGCTAATCATAGTAGACGTCACAATATTGCACAATGATATGATGTTATTTATATTATCTCACATGGATAATGCAAGATCTTGAATTACCATATATAACAATTAAAGGGTAATTACAAGATATGGGATAATCCAAATCCCTAAAAAATAGGATCTTATCTTGGGGAGGAGGCAAATTTCGAAAATCAATGGATTATAACAAACCCTAGATTTCGAAATTTAAGGGTTTAAGGAAAGGATTTGAAGATCTTATTCAAACTCTTGCAAATTAGGGTTTGCAAACCCTAATCTCAAAAAACCCTAACCTCCTAGGGTTTATTGGCAATAAACCCTAATATATCAAGTTCATACAATTGAAACCAAACCAATGGCTCTGATACCACTGATGGGTTTTGGTCATAAAACATCCTATGTGCTCATATAAACCCTAATGCTTGGATCTAGGTTTCTCTATTATACATGCTTTGAATCCAAGACTATAAACCCTAATTCTAGTATATGAAATCGATATTAACATATGAATGGGTTTAAGAACATACCTTGATTGTTATATAGCAATAACAATCCTAATTCCACCTTGAATTGACTTTGGAATGCTTAGAGTCACAAGTGTCACTCCTCTAATGGCTTACAAACACCAAGAGCAAATGGAGAAGGTATAAAGAGAGAGGAGAGAGGTTAGAATTCGTCCTTAGGACTCCTTGGGAACAAGTACACGAATTCTAAGGCCTTAGGGTCTTTATATAGGTGTAGAGATAGGGTTTCAGTCATTATCCTTATCTAGTTGCTTATCCACAAAGCAACCATAAGATAAGCCTTGAAAACCCTTATCCTTTATCCTTTGGACGATTTCAAGGATCCTTATCTCCTTGAATTCGTTCAACCCATATTTAGGATAACCATTACCATATTTTGTAACAATCACATAATTACAATTCAGCCCCTCTAGTTTAATTAATTACACTTGATCACAAAATTAATTCCTAATTAATTATTGACTAATATTAATTAAGCAAATATGATTTCTCCTTTAATATATTATTCTTATAACATATTAATAAATCATAATAACCTCTCTCTCTTTATTTATTTCTCCAATCAAGTTGCTTTGGTGAAGGCAACCCAAAAGGACCATGCATCATCGGGTCAAGTACATACCAAAATAGTTATGGACTTAGACACTAATCCAACAATACTTTGAACCACTTTTTCTCTATAAGGCATCCATCTTGACTACGATATCGGATTAGAAGGATCGATGCTTCTTTTTGGAACTTATTTAAGTTTTATTGACTTAATCTTATTATGTAGAAAGATACATAGATGCATGTTGCTTGTAAAACTTCCTTTAACATAATCATGTCATCATGTAGATGGGCTTCTTCAACCATAACCTCCACCCTATCCCCAACATGTAATCCTATTGACACCTACAAAGATGCTTGAAACCCAACCTTCAAAATATGCAACCAAATAAATTATTACATTATTTGTGAATTCAAGCAATAATGCTTTAAATCTTTACTTCAGTAAATTTTCATTCCGGTCATTGACAAATTTAAGGATAAAAATGCAATATATATATATATATATATATATATATATATATATATATATATATATATATATATATATATAATCTTATAAAAGAAATCTTACTATTTCTAAAAATACATTGAATATAATAATATTATTTTTTTAAGACGTCGAATCCATTAAACTAAAAGTAATCATCAATAAAATAATATTAAATTTTAAATTGAATCCTTATATTTCTGGCAAATCTGATATCCTTCCCTTAAACCCGGTTCATTCAAAATTTGAAACCTTTTTATCCAAATACATGCTTGAAATATCCTATTGTTCCCTCCCCTTCTGATTCTCTCAGTTGAAACCGTAATTCCAGAAAAGTTCTTTCAATTTTTGCCCGTCATCCCCTATATCAGGCGCTAAACTCTTCTACGTCCCCCTAGATTGATCGGTGTTACATTTTTTACGATTACTTTCATCCTATCCATCATACGATCGAAGGTACATTTTCTATTATGTTATTCATACTTTTGTAAGTTATGATTATAAGAAGGATCAGCCAAGACAAACATATTTCAATTCCAATGCCTTACAGATTTTAGGGCTTCAAGATGACTCGGTCGACTGTACATTCTCTATTGTGTTATTTATAGTCTCACGCCAGACCTACTACCACCGCCAGTTTACTCGCCACCACCACCGGTGCACTCACCGTCACCACCATTTCTTCAAGACTCATTTATGTTGTATTCGATTTCATTTTATCTGTAATATAAATTAATGACAAAACTTCAAAAATGGTCCCTGTGGTTTTCAAAAATTCAAGTTTAGTCCATAAGTTCAAAAAACCTTACAGATGGTCTCTGTGATTTCAAAACTTTTAACATTTGGTCCTTTTCGCTAACTTTGTTAGCTTTTGGCCGTTAAGTGAAACTTCCACAGAGACCATTTATGAAGTTTTACCTCATTTATATATATATATATATATATATATATATATATATATACCGAGATCGTTTCTGCCATCGATGGATTCAGATCAGTTATAGAATGATCGGAAAACCCTAATTTGAGAACGGAATCAACTTCAATTGATCGTTTCTGGAGTGGTGTGTTATTTTGTCAAACAAGTGGAGTGGAAACTGGACCGCGATATGGGAGTGGAAACTAAAAATTATGTTTCGAAGAGGATGAACAAACGATTAGTTGTAACAACAATGGAAGGCGGTCGCCTCTTCCTCATTAAATCCTACATCCTATATACCCAGAACCCCAATTGATCCAATCCCAAAATTGCATCCAAGGTCTGTCATTCGATCAGATTAACTTTTAAAATGCCATACAATGAAGACAAATCCTCCGACAATGATTCTGATACCGGATTTGACGAAATATGGAAGCCCTAAGAAAGGCCTGCTCTATCACAGTGTCGACGATTCAGTCGATGACCCCCCCCCCCCCCCCCCCCACCAAAGCATCCACCGCCTGTAGAGATTTTGGTGATACCTATGCGTCTGAGGATGAAGACATTGAAGAAGACCTAATTGCCAAAACTCGATTTTGAAACTCAATTTGGTTGTACCTTTTGATTATTTGAAAATGGTGTATCTTGCTCTAGATGTCTTCGATCATACCCTCGCTTGCTTCTTCCTTCAATAAGCCCTAAAAGCAATATGCTTTCAGCCACTTCAACCCATCGTCAATCTCATGCTTCACTGGTGGTCATTTACATGCGAGTAGACAGCACAGCAAACTCCCATACTCACACGTGTGAGACTTTACGGGACTTTTGATGACCCGAATAGCACGATTCAAAATCACCGACGACCGACAATTGATTTAAACAAAATGACTCTCAAACCTAGATAATTTACATTACCCACGAAAATTCAAATTGATTTTAATTTCTAGAATATATATTCGAATAGTTGAGAATAAATTAAAATCCGATATATATATATATATATATATATATATATATATATATATATATATATATATATATATATATATATAGGTTAATGTGAGACGGTTTAATTTTGTAAGACCGTGAGACGTATTTTTTTATTTATTTTATTTATTTTATTTTTTTTAGTTAATTCAAGTTCCGAAAATAATATTTAAAAAAAGAATTTTTGGATTTTTTTATTTATTTTGCATTTTAAAATTATTTTTTAGAATATATACAGTGTAATATTCTATTAGAATATTTCACGTATTTTTTTAAAAAAAAAAAACGGGATTTTTTTATTTTATTTTTTTTTAGTTAGTTCAAGTTTCGAAAATAATATTTTAAAAAAAAAATTAGATTTTTCCATTTCTTTCGCATTTTAAAATTATTTTTTAGAATATGTACAGTGTAATATTCTATTAGAATATTTCATGTATTTTTTAAAAAAAAAAACGGAATTTTTTTTATTTTTTTAGTTAATTCAAGCTCCGAAAATAATATTTAAAAAAAATGGATTTTTCCATTTATTTTGTATTTTAAAATTATTTTTAGATTTGATCAAACGAATGGTCTCAAATGAACCTGAATATATATATATATATATATATATATATATATATATATATATATATATATATATTACTTGATATATTATTATTATTGTATCTTATATTTATATTTTATTCGAAGTCGATTTTCCTTTTTATAAGGAGATTTGATTCGATTAAATATGAATAAAACAAAAATGTATATATTTTGATAACAATCTAATTCTTTTAGAGTCGGTCGCTACAGAAAGTCTTTTGACTGAAGTTTACGTAGCGAACAAATCCCCACTTACCAACTAAAGAATGATGTACGACCGCGTCTACCAAATTATAGTAAGTTTACGTAGTCAAACTTTAAATTACTCCATGTTTTTAAAATAATACTAAATTATCTAAAGTTGACTCGATTATTTAGAAGTTCATACAAAGACATGAAAAAGATAATTCCCAACTTATTTTGCACTGCTATAGTCTATACTCCTCAGAGTCAATTGCGACGCACATCGATTTGTTTTATTATTCTTATTTTTGAATTCTATTGAATATGTTTTAATTTTATTTGTAATATCGACATACAATTACAAACCTGTCTGATACCCATGTGGAAAATTGAAAATAGGAGTTGAAAATTGAATCCCACTGTGTCTGTATTTACATATAAATATAAATCTAGAAATACAGAATCTTTGGCCTCAAAAAAAAAAAACTACATATAATGATCTTCTAGCTCTCATTCTATACAACAAAAGCTAACCAAGTAAGCATAAAGTAGTCGAGATTCCTCCTCATATACCAGGGAAATAAATAAATAAAAAAAGAAATATAAATCCCAAAAGAAAAAAAGGGGAAATTTTATCTACTTGGCAGTTGTTCAACTTGAAATCAATTTAGAGCATTGTGAACGCGTTCAAGAAGTCGAACAACTTTATTAACATTAATACTTGTTGAAAATAGCGGGGGCTTTGTGAAAATATTATTATGAGTAGGGGATGGAGGTAATGCTGCTAGAACATCTTCTTGTTGGGTGTTTGTAAGCTCTAAAAACTGTGACAGCATGTCACCATCCAGAATCTTTGCTACACCCGCCTGTTTCAGCTCACAATGATTAATAAAATAAAATAAAAAACATATATCTTTTTTTGGAAAGTTTAAGGTTAATTGTTTTTTTTTACCGGGCTTTGACGGCTGCGATACTCGTTATGATTGTTACCCAGGATAGGAGCCGTCAATGCATGAACTGCGATTCTCGATTGTACTTCTTCTAGAAGCTCATATTCCTCCCTTAAAAACATAAACAAAAAAGAAATTTGTTATTTAAAATTAAAATAATAATAAATTATAAATTATAAATTATAAATACCTTGATATAGGAACAAAGATAATTATGCTTCCTAACAAAGTGCTTGCGACAATACTACTATGTGAAGATGAATCCATAATTGAACTTGCAATATTGCAATCCCCCCTCATTTCATCATCCGCCAAAAGTTTGTATGAAAATGAACCCTACAAAAAATAAAAAATGTAAATCCAAAAAAAAAAAAAAACATTTTTACTTTTTTTTTTTCTTGAAGAAGTTATATAGTATTATATATACCTTTCGGATGCTCATTGCGACCTCACCCATATAGAAGGAAGAACAAACCTTCAAGTTACATTCAGGACTTGCATTTTCTGCATCATCATATTAATAAATATATAATACAAATATCAAAAAAAAAAAAAAAGAAAAAAAAAAAAAAAAAAAAAAAGATTATTTATTTTAAAGAAGTTACCACTAGAATGATGGGAACATGATAAGACAGCAATACTGCCCTTACGATCTGAAACAACAGCTGTATCAATATTCATAAGAAGGCAATCAGCAACCAATCTCTGGACAGGATCACTGTATAATTGTTCCACCTTCTTGGCATCCTGTTTACATATAAAATTCATCACATCACATTTTTTTAATATTAATAAAGAATGTAAAATATTAAAGGAGTAAAGGAGAGTGTGACCTCATAATAAGCATAGAAAAGAATGCCATCACGACAATCACCAACAGCAATGGTAGTAAAATGAGTGGTCAAAGTCATGATCATAAACCGTGTCTTTCCACCAGCCAATCTTTTCACCCTTAAACTGCTATCATTCTGAAAGCTGCATACATAAAACTAAACAACAAACAAACAAACAAATTACCAAATTACCATTTTTTGTAACTTAGTCAGAAGAAGAGGAAGAGGATGAGACTTACAGAACTACCAGCAGAGGCTAAGAAATAGCAATCAAGATAAGGGCATAAAGCAAGAACAATGCCACGCATATTGGTTGCATAAGCTAATCTTAAATTCCATGCTTCGGTTTCTTCTAATTTGATTCCATTTCCATCACAACTATTATTATCAATATCATCAGGGCTGCTGCAAAGGCTACTGCTTGAAAGTTCTCCATAGTCACAAAAAGGGGAACTTCTTTTTGAATAAAATGTCATTGATCCACTGTCTGAGTTTTGTTTGTGTTCAAGGCACAGGACTATCAATCTGCCTTTTGTACTGTAAGTGTAAAACATAACAATTCAAAACGAGTCCTTATGCTTTCTTATGTTTACTGTCTTTGGTCCAAACTTCAAACCTTCGTCAATTTTGGTCTGTATTTCAAGGTTTCATATCAATTCTAGTCCATGGAACCTCGAAATAAGGACGAAAGTCGATATGAAACCTTGAAAAAAAGACAAAAATAGAAAGTTCCGGGGACCAAAATTGAAAAAAGATTAAATTTTGGACTAAGCGAAGTAAAAACAAAACAGAAAGCATTAGGGACCATCTTTGTAATTTACTCAAGAGAAGAGCAAATGACATGGATTGTCTTGGTGCTTTCTAATTTGTACCACGTTTAGTCCAAATTTGTAATATTTATTTCAATTTTAGTCCTTATTTCAAGGTTTCATATTAATTTTGGACCATGGAACCTCAAAATAAAGACAAAAAACCAATATGAACCATTGAAAATAAGGACCAAAACTGAAAAATACTCTGATTTTGGACTAAACTGAAAACAAACAACAAAGATCATTTTTGTAGTTTATTCAAAAGAAGAGTAAATTACAAAAATGGTCCCTGTACTTTCTGATTTTTACCATACTTCAGTCCAAAACTGAAACCTTGTTCATTTCAGTCCTATTTTTATAGATTTTGCCTTACGCTTCATAGAACACTTTCAATAAGGACCAAAACGGAGAAGAGTTACAAATTGGGACAACATATGGTAAAAATCAAAAAGCACAGGGACTGTTTTTGTAATTTAGTCAAGAGTAGAGTATATTATTTAACCTTTCGGCTTCACCAGTTGGCATTATGGCAGGGCCAGTGGAGAGACTAGTGCCCACCACCAATACCTGTTCACTTCCAGCTTTTAACAACTCCATACACTTCCCTGTTTCTCCAGGCTCAAGTTTAAAAGATGATGAAATCAAACCACTCAACGGGTCCACACAACAGATATCAGATGAACACGAATCATCACTCAAATCTGTCCTCAAAACCAACAACAATTTGCTTTCAGAATGATATAAAACCTTCCTTGGTGTCCCTCCAAGGTGAAACTTCTGCACATTCAGCCTCTTGCTATGCACCATTTCCAACTAAAACATTAAAAAAAAAAATGTTAAAAAACATAAAGATGCGAGGGTAATTTGGTAATTTTGAAAAAAGTCTTACCAAATGGAGACTGTTGTCTGAGACGAATAAGATCCCATTAGGGCATTCACTTGAACATACAGGAGTTGCATGTGTGGAAGCTTGGAAGGAGATGGAAGTGTATGAAAGGCTGTGTCTTGCAGTTTGTAATAACCAAGGTCTGTCACTGAGGGCGATGATGTCAGCATCAGGGAGATCATTCAGTGGAACTAAGAAAGCAGGTGTGATTCCAATACGTCGGATTGAAATCAACTGAAGACAAACAGGGGTATATTCGTCTTTTGTCATCATTGAAGAACGCATAGGTGAGTTTGTGGAGACAGAAGGCCACTCAAACCTAAGTAGCATGCCATTTCTAAGCCCTGAAAGTATATAAACTCTATCAACTTGTACAATGCGCACATCTTGTGGTACAGAGCCACTTATAGTTGTCCCAATGCTGTTCACCAATGAAATTGATCCAATTGCAACAGCTTTTATACCTTCATCAGGTTTAAAAGATAGAACCTCTACAGAAGGCCTGTGTGTCCCTATAACAAACGTATTCCCATTCCCATTTCCAATTCCAATTTCAATTGGCTTTTGAGGAATGGAAATGCAAGACAATTCATATTCCAATCTGACATTTTGGATTTGATAGACTTCATATTGATGAAGTGTCACGTGTCTGACTCCAAGAACGAATAGAAAACATGGATTTGAAGTTGCTACAATTACAAATTTACCCCCGATGGCTCCAAGACTAATGTTCATGTTATCAGGGGACCAAGATGTAAAATTTGGAGATGTGGAAGGGATGCCATCAGGGTGAGCAGAGGTTGTAGGTAAAGATAGGTGGACTGCATTACGGTGGATTTGAACCAACACTCCATCATCAATAACACCACATGCTAATGTACAAACATCTGGTTGGAATCCAACTGAATCGGTTACATCTGTGAAACTAACACCAACTGAAAGTACACGTGTCTCTTCTACAAAAGATAACACAAGGAAAGAATGGAAAGAATCGGTTGATTTCATTTTAATTGTCCAAGTACCTGTGATTCCTTGATAAACAGGGGCAGTTTTTAAAAGTTTTTCTAGACTGATTCCATTCCGGATTACCCTTAAAGATCCTTCAGGTGTGATTCCACAACAAGCAAACATTTGTTCATGTTTTTCATCATGGTAATCCACTAGTGACATATCCAAGATTGGTGAAATGTTTTGAACAAGGCTTTTGTAGTGGAGCTTTCCTTCTTCAAATTTCAAAACCATCCCATCTCCCATTTCAGCAAGTGCTGTTAAAAAGTCACCTTCAACCCATAAAAGCTCTTTGAAAGGTGAACCTTTGTAGAGACAATCAGAGAGGTTGACTTTGACTTTTTGACCATTTGAGTCTGAAGTGAGTTCAATTACAAAAAGCTCGCCTGTATCCACACAAAAGATCATTCTTGGGTTTTCTACATTTGGTTCCCAGGTCCATGAGATAACTCGGTTGGATGTTGACTTTGATGAATAGCCAGAATCATCATCTATATTCATGGGGTCATCTTCTTTAATTATGTCTTTTAGCTCTAAAAGAGCAGATGCAGCAACATTGCAGATGTTACCTTCTTCATCAACATCATTTGTTCTATATGACTCGTCTACAAAATTATGCTCATCTATCACCAAGGGTAAAAAGTTTAGGCTTGTTCTGTATACACATAAAGGGTTGTGTGCATCTCTAAAATCCATCAAAAGAACATCACTAACTCTAAAAAGAAATGCAAATCCATAAGAATGGGGAACTTCAACTATATCATGTGCCAGTGGTCCAAGCTCAGCATACTGAGAAAGTACATGGACAAATTTGTCCCTAGTATTCCACTCTAATAACAAAACCTCATTCAGTAGTGACCCCTTTCTGCAAAAGTAAAAGCAAACTTACCTAAATGGATAAATCCTCAGTATGATTTAACCAATAAGGAATTAATTAATTATCATACCTGTTTAAAAGAATGGCTAACACAGGGTTGTGCTCTTTACTCGGTTGACTTTGACTCAAATCTTTTGAGATGAAGCACATGCTCCATATAGTACCATGTATACCAGGAACTCCAATGCTTGTACTTGTATTCATTTCAGTGTCAGAAGGACAAAATATTTTCTGCAAGTAAAAGAAAAAAAAAGGGCATCTTAAATCTTGAATCTTGAATCTTGCTGAATCAGTATGTTTACAATCTTAAGAACCCAATATAATGATAGAAGAAGTTGTTAACCTTATCGATGATGTCAGCATCACTTGAACTAGAAACTGAGAACAAAGCCAAACGGTCCTCATATGCACTTGTAGCAATGAAACAGCCACTGAAAAATGAGAATTAAAACAGTTACATATGCTGGAAACTCCATATATTAATTAGTCAACTGTAAACTAATTCAACCATAATAGAAACTTACTTGGAATCAACAGTCAACATTCTTCCAACATGATGCCTTAGGTTTCCAGGTGAGCTGGATAGTTGAATTTGTGTCAAAGGATAGAACCTAAGCAAGTGGAGTGTACAGCAAGACAGTATTACAAAACAAAGTATAGAGCAATTAAATGAGAAATAAGACCTGTCTTTTTGTGATCATTGTATGTATGCAAGAACAAGAATAGAAACCTGTGCATTTCATTTGAGAATGTGAGAACTGAGAGTTTTCCAGAATCTGAAGTAACAAGCAATAGGTCTTTTCCTTGTACCTACAACAGCATACAAGCAAACAAGATTTTAACAAGCAAATGCAATAGGTTTTTTCCAGAACACTAATAAGATTTTAGAAATCAAATGATGTGAAAGTACCTGTGGACTTGCTCTATGAAAACTCTTATTCCAGGGAAGAACAGCAACATCTTTAATTGTTCCAAATACAGGCTGCTCACATATGGACTGGAGGACTCCATAATCATCGATTACTACCAGCTCTAAGGATGTTTCCTGCACCAATAAGATGGGGGAAAACGTTAGATATTAAAATACCTGATTATACATCATTTACAAGCAATCAGAAAGCGCTTTTCTACTGCATATGCAGTGTGATGCGAAATTCGAACCACTTCCAATAAGGCTTTGGGACAATTTTTAATGTTTTATATTCTAGAAATTGGGCATAATATCTGCATAGAAACCGTTATATAACATGAAATTGAGTTGAATTTTGCAAAGGAAAGCAAAATAAAACCTTGCCGAAAACGATGTCTTTAGAGGAAGGGGATCGGATGTGACCGTAGACGACTTGAAGGACAACGCTTCCTTTAAGAACACATTTAGCGAGGTAGTGAGGGCCACCGCGGGGCAACGGTGATCTTGAGTTGTTCCGACTCGCCGACGATGATTCCTCCTCTGAAACCGCCATAACCACACGTCGACGGAGAGGAATTAGTTAGGGTTGCTTATTAAAATTATGAATTCACGAGAGAATTGAAAAGCCAGATGAGTTATATATGCAATAATAATGCATCTGCAGTATCTGTCTGTAATTGTTTGTGATGGGTTCGTTGCTGATAGATTGGGACACGAGCTGTGGTTTTGGAGAAACGAAACGAGGAACAAGGCAACAAGCGCAGTGTCATGTAGCCCCCATACGCCATATGCCACATGCCGTATGGAAATCGACTGCTAATTTGAGTTATTAATATTGGTTTATTTGATAAGGATGACACATGAAGCAGATTAGAATGGAAAGTGATAAAATATTTTTTTATTTTTTATTTTTTATTTTTATTTTAGGTTGATGATTCTTAAACGTAACATAGTTAATATTCTTCTAGTATTAAACGATGTATTTTTTCGCTTTACATAAAATGAAAATTCATTTTAGGTTTCCACTTGTAAAATACAGTTATATCATTAGTTATATCATTGTATAATACTATTAAGTATAGATAATATATTAAAACATGTTATAGCATCATTTTTAATGTTATAGCATCATTTTTAATGTATCTTATATGTTCCATCATTATTATTATAAAAGAAATCTTATAATCAAAATGTTATATAAAAGCATTGTTAATTATTTATTTTTTTCTATTGACCAATATATATATATATATATATATATATATATATATATATATATATATATATATATATATATATATATATATATATATATATATCGAATCAACAGTATATTTCTATCTTTTGTCACTTATCACCTTCATTGATATTTTAGTTATATTTCATTTTAAACACTTAAATATATTTAGTTTTAAATATTTTTTTATTTTTATTCTAAGTAATTATTTTTGTTAAATATTTAATGACATTTCATTTATACAATATAAAATTATAATGATGTGTGTTTAAACAACAAAGAAATAAATAAGAAGGTTTTATAGAACATTTAAGATAGATATGAGTAAATTAGTTAACTTTTTATGTTATATTTAAAATAAAAATTATAAAAAAAAAAAAAAAAAAAAAAAAGCTAACCATTGGAGAAATTATTTAATTAGAGATTAAAGTTTTTGGAATAATGATGTGACAATAGTTTTACTTCATAGCTTAATCGTTTGAGATGTTCTAACACCCACTAATTTTCATGTCATTGTTTCTTTTTTCTTTTTAGTATTTATAAAAACAAATGTAATGTAATAAAACATGTTATTTAAATAAAACCTAATTTTTTTAATTAAGCAAACATTTAAAAACTAAAAAAACATTAAAAGAAAAAAAATACAATTGTCCTAATATAAAATATAATTTAAAACAGTAATCCTAACCCAAATAAATCTTCTGAATCTTCTCTTTCATTGCTCGAAGCACTTCCAAATCTTGGGGCAACACATTTTCCTCGTTAGACAAATAATTGTCAATTGGTTCATCATTTGTGCTTGCTCGCGAAGCTCTTTCTTGCTTCTGAAGACAATTCAAGTGCTCACGTTGCACTTCAACTCTTTCTTTTGCTATTAAATTGTGTGTGTCAAAGTTCTTCATATCTACCAATTCTTGTGCCTTTTTTCCAACTTTCTGCCACTTATATATATATATATATATATATATATATATATATATATATATATATATATATATATATATATATAGAGAGAGAGAGAGAGAGAGAGAGACAATACATGATCTAGTTTTAGGGTTTCTTGACCACTTCACAACATACGATGATACGATAGTGAATTAGCTATATATTTTTGGACATGTCATACTTTTTTCTAGAATGTTGGATTTGTTGTAATTTATATCTGTAAGATTGTTGGATTTATCATTTTGTAATGTTGAACTAGGTGGGGAACCCCCGCGTTGCAGGGGTCGGATGCGACAAGTCTTTCAGCAAAATTGAAATATGAACAAAATAACTTTACATTTTAAGAATGAGTATTAAAAAAAATTTAATTCCTATTTTTTACATATTCATTTTCACTATAGAATGTAAAAAGTTTGTTCTTTTTTATATATATTTGTTTTAAAAAACAAAAATTGCACCTTAAGACGGATTTAAACACAAAATGACCGGGAAACCGAAACTATTCTCAACACGTATCCGCACAAAATATGGGTACTGACATAAAATGACCTAAAGACGGATTTGAACACAAACACATAAACAGAGGACCATTCTTGCCAAAAATCACGTAAGTTTATTATTCCTAAAAGTGTCCTCCTTTAATATATATATATATATATATATATATATATATATATATATATATATATATATATATATATATATTATATATATATATATATATATATATATATATATATATATATATATATATATATATATATAAGAATTTGTAATATGGGATTTTTAAGTTTGACAAAATTAAAAAAATGGTCCCTGTGGTTTACCAAAAGTCACAAAGTCAGTCCCTATTAATTTTTTGTGATGCAAATGGTCCTTATGGTTTGCGAATCTTGCAATGTTGGCCCTTTTTACTAATACCGTTAGTAAAAAGTCGCCAGGGACTAAATCTATAATGGCATTTTCGTCTTTTCAAGTATAGAATGACTGAATTCGTGACATTTGAAAAACCATAAGGACCATTTTTGAAATTTGTTTGAAAAAATAAACTAATCAACAAATTACGTGAATGGTCCTTTAGGTTTTGGATTTTTCCCTAATTTAGTCCCTACGGTACTTTTTTCCCTCAAATAGTACCTATGGACCATAAGTTGCACGCGTTTGGTCCCCGAGTTGGATGTCCGTCCATTCCAACGTTAAGTTGCCCCCATGTGACTTGCACATGAGGGTATTTATGTCATTTTAGCCTAAAGGACCTTTTCTGAATTATTGGAATTAACAGCTATATCCATTAAGGTGGCGGGGTTTAGTTTCAGACATTGACTTTACACTCTATTTCTTTCCCTAAGAAAACCTTTTGATCATCCCATCTTTTTCAATCGTGAGTTCTTATCGTCGTCGGCCGTTACAGTTCAACTGATTGAACGGTGTATCGAGGAAAATGGTGCTCACATTGTGGTCTTTACGTCCACGCTACACCCAACCACCTGACCTACGTAAAGAATATGGTAAGCACGGACCTTGTAATGCTAGGTTTTGACGAAATGTAATTTTTCTTTCCTCCATCATTAACATTTTATTGTTCTTGAATGTTCACAAGTTCTATTTCAAGCTTTTGCACATTCAAGATAAATCATGGAGGTTCGTTCACAAATACAGTATCTGGAAGGTCATACATAGATGGGCTTGTTGATCACTTTGATTTTGTGGACATGGATGTGTTTTCAGTCCACGAGTTAGATGATATGATGGCAGTTTTAGGGTACAATGATGGTAGTATATGTCCCATGTATATCCCAAAGTTTATAATATTCAATGAAAAACATTTCTTCAAAAATACTTTTTATGGGACAAACTACGCATTTACAAATTACAATAAATTCTATTTTAAATTAAGCACAAAAAAACGTTTTCTTTTTGCAGAAAAAATTAAAGATGTCACATGAATACACCATCAAAGTTGTCAATTTCCAAACAAATTCCGTGATTTCTCGAGGAGAGCCTTTTGTTCTCATAGAATTGTGAGTGAAGAGCCCAAATGTGTGGTCATGTTTCTTACCAACTAAGGAGATATCTTTTACAAACTAGTATGGTTATATAATGATGAGATAGCATCATGACACATAGTATGGGTGTCTAAAATATTCATGTTAACTTGAGTGTTATTCATAAATTTTCGGTTAAAGTGAAATAGTGATTAAAGCCTTGGGAGATATCTTAGTGCACGTGCAATCAACTTTGGGAGCAGTCGCATGTTCTATTGTCTATATAATTATAGTTATCATTTCAATATTTAGTAAGGTCATAAGAAACAATATCACAGAAAACGTAAAAGCGTCTATATGGTGAATAGAAATAGGATAGGCACAACCGGTCATACTATAAATAGTATAACAAGCGTCTAACAAAATTACATTATATATATATATATATATATATATATATATATATATATATATATATATATATATATATATATATATATATATATATACTAGCAGTGTACCCGCGCAAAGCGGCGGAGCGTGTAAATTCTTTCGGTGATATGTTTCCTCTACAAAAATGTTATGTTACAAAAAAAGTACATGTCGAAGACAAAATAATCAAACTATGGTGTTATTTGTTACATGATACATCAAATAACCGATAAAAAGAAACTGGTCAATACGACATAAAATATGAAGGCATAACCATGAAAATGGCAAAAGTGTGTATCAATCAGGCCGACATTTGGGAATGGTTGGGTTTGAATGGAAGCGACGATGTAAAAACGATCAAAAAATGTCATGGCCACGGTGGACGGCGTCACATATGACAAATCAAAACTCTAAATGTCAGTTGAGAGAAAAAAGATAGAGAATGAGAAGAGGGTGAGCTTCCAAAAGTAATTTAGGGTTCCTATGGTGAAGTCGTTTTTGGAAGGAAAGACGTCAGAAAGCAATGTCATAAAACCGGTGGTTGGGGATAGTGGAAGATGGGAGATGAAGTCATTTTTTGTTCCTGGACGGTGGTTTTATAGCAGATGAGGGAACAAAGAGGTATATGCGATTAGAGGGATATTTGAATCAACATGGTAAATTTAAGGATATCTAAAAGGGTTCAAAATTTGAATGAATCGGGGATTTAAGGGAACCATATCAAATTGCTGAGAAATATAAGGAGATTTGATGATAAATATTTGAATTCAAAACGTGGTTAAAATTTAATATTATTTTATTAATGGTTAGTTGTACTATCAGCTTCATCATTTGGACGTCTTAAAAAAATATTATTATTATAATCAATCTATTTTTAGAAATAGTTAGATTTCTTTTATAAGATAGTATATATATATATATATATATATATATATATATATATATATATATATAGGTTCAGGTTCATTTGAGACCATTCTAATTTTGTGAGACCGTGAGACCAAATCTAAAAATAATTTTAAAATGCAAAATAAATGGAAAAATCCAAAAATTCTTTTTTTAAATATTATTTTCGGAACTTGAATTAACTAAAAAAAATATAAAAAAAAAATAAAAAAAATTCCGTTTTTTTTTGAAAAATACGTGAAATATTCTAAATAGAATATTACACTGATATATTCTAAAAAATAATTTTAAAATGCAAAATAAATGGAAAAATCTAAAAATTCTTTTT